TTGTATTTCTCCAGTTCCTATATTTAGATGTATTTCAACAAGCTTGCATACTTCTCATTATATGAATGTCGAATTGAATACATCATTGTAACTTAGTTTATACTGGATGGACAATAGCAAATGAGGCAGAAATGAGTCATCTCATTTCTTATTGAGCTCTCCCCCGCCCCCAATGTGTTCATTACCATGATGATTTGGTCATGGAGACACACAAAGTTTCTGCTCATATCCTTCTTGTGAGTGATAGATTTGTTACTCAGCTCAGTATGGGTTTTCTAATCCTTCCCTGCCTTTGAAGTGGTCCAACTAGACTTCATGACTTAGCTACTAAATACAAAAAACAAAAACAAAAAACACTTTCTGGGCAAATTACTCTAGCAATCTTAGATCAAATTCAAACATGTATACTTCTTTATTTAAACAAGATAGTGTTTTTATTCAGCATTCAGCTTTAAAAGATCATTGTCTCCTAAATGAAGAAAATCTAGTGTCTCTGACACAACTGCTAAACTATGTGATATTAATCCAGTGGTTCCCAATCTGTGGTCTGTGGACCACCAGTGGTCCACAAAAACTAAAATATGATCTGTGGCCTCACCATTACTACACCGTTGCAACAAGAACAACTGGTCTCACAACACCCTCTTATAATGCAGAGGCTTATTAAATATGGTTTTATGTGGGCGAGTAGATGGTGACTACTGGATGGCATATGTCCCGTATAAGAAACTAGAGCTGATGTGGTCTATCCAATGCAATTTTCTGAATCAGCAGCCCAAATAACCAAACCGAATCTAAAGTTGACAAAAAACAGATTCATAACCCTTTTGGCACTAATGTTGGAGAGTGGTCCCTGCTCAAAGAGGTCTCTGTTCAAGTGGTCCCTGGTCAAAAAAAGGTTGGGAACCACTGTATTAATCACATACAATGCAGCAATGTTAACAAAAAGTTTAATAACAATGTACAAATCTATTATTTTTTCATTGCCCTGGGGCCTTTAATACAAAGTAGCTACAACATAGATCCTCTTTTATGAATTTCTTTAGTCTCACTCTACTTTGGCTTGGTTAATTTGATGTCCAATCTACACTGTGAAAGAAACATTTATTTTAATTTCTGATTAGCCAATAGCTTTCTCAAAACAAAGATACAGTAGAATCTCACTTATCCAACTTTTGCTTATCCAACATTCTGTATTATCCAATACAATCTGCCTCCCGCCCAATCCACAGCTGTTTCAATACATTGAGATGTTTTGATGCTAAATTCATAAATACAGTAATTACTACAGTACATAACGTTACCATGCATTGAACTGCTTTTTCAGTCAATTTGTTGTAAAACATGATGTTTTGGTGCTTAATTTGTAAAATCATAATGTCATTTGACATTTAATAGGCTTTTTCTTAATCCCTCATTATGTAACATTTTTGTTTATCCAACGTTTATCTGTTGGATAAGCGAGACTCTACTGTATTGGACTAAGTCAAGTCCCAACTTACATGGCCCCTGTTTGCTATGCTTCAAATGTATAACTTTTCTCCAGAAGTTTTTTTAAACCCATAATGCATAGCTCTCGCAGTGCACCCATGGAGTTGATTGAAGAAGCAGAAGTGAAAGCATAGGATATAATTTAAGTGGCATAACAAGAACAGCAGAATAAACACAATTCCTATCTGTTGCTTTGTATCTGTGGATTGTTCTGAAAAGAAGCTATCATCTAATGGCAAGTCACATTAGGATAAGCAGTTCTATAGGTTGTCCATTTCAGTTTCAAGTTCTATCTCGGAAGAATTTATTTTGTATGAAGAACATGTAAAATTAAGAGGCTAGTTTACATCCCATACATTTATTGGAATGGATGTCAATCTTTAGTTAGATAATCTTCATATTTTTTTCATCCAGAAATGTTGGGAGGATTTTAATTGGGAGTATGATACAATGTTAAATGGCAGTTTCTCTCCTTTCTTCTCCCTTGTTGCAGTTTCAGTCATTATTCTACCTAAATTTGGATGGAAAGGAAAAAGTTGATGTAAAGAAAATAATAATAATAATAATAATAATAATAATAATAATAATAATAACAATTAGCACAACAAGATTAGTACACAGAAAAAAAGACCACTATGCTGGCTGTTGTATTGGATCACATGTCGCACACTTACCAAGCATCTAGGACTGTGTGATGTATCAGCGAATAATGCATGCAGATCTGAGTAGGGCGGCCTTTTGCAGCTGACAGATAGTAATTTTGTTAGTGCCTATTGTGTTTAAGTGCAGGCCAAAGTCTTTAGGCACTGCACCCAGTGTGCCGATCACCACTGTGTCAGTCTTTGCACTTTGATCTTTTCCAGTTGTTTCTCTTCAATTCTGCTGTCACCTGGGATTGCAACATCGATGATCCATACTTGGTTTTTTAACACGATCTTTGAGTTCAGGATTATTGTGCTCCAAAACTCTGTCAGTCTGAATTTGGAAGTTCCGGAGTAGTTTGATGTGTTCATTTTCTGTAACTTTTTCAGGCTTGTGATCCCCCCCTCCCTCCTTCTGTGTCAAAAGCATTGCATAGTTGTAAAGAACATGATGAAAAGAAAATTTGGAAAGGGAAAGGTTAAAGTGATGGGTAAACTTGCAGACATTAGTCAATGGAATGGCCAAACTCATTTATATAGATCATAACATATAGGGAGTGTTGAAGTTCAATTCTGTTAGAAAGTCACTTTTTTCTGTTTTCCAGGATAGCGAAGAAGTTTCATGGGGGAATATGGAGAAAAGTGTTTTTCTCATGATGTCCTATAGAAACATCATAAAATTTAGTGAAAGCATGAGAAAAAAGTAAGCATAATTGCACAGAAAGTGCCCAGGTTGAAAGAAAGCATTTTTAGATTCATACACTCAATATGAAACAGAGCATCAGACTCTAATGTAAACATAGCTATTTCTTTGCAACTGTAACTACACACACACACTGGACTCTCACTAATCCACACCAGACTTTGGGCCATTTCATGTAATATTTGTTATTTCACAGAGATCTGTAGCTCGTCATGGATTTTTTAATTACTGCATGTCAATTACATGTATGTTTGCAAACAAATGTTTGGCATGTTCAAATGTTGCATCATCTTAGGAACATGGTGAAAAAGGAAGTATGTGACATCAACCTTAAAATTGGTACATTTTTCTTCTGTGTATAGACTTTGGACTAAATTAAATTTTTGATCCCAACTAGGTTAAACCCATTGAATCAAAGTTATAGAATTCAACAGTTACGTAAATCTAAGTGAATCTAATAGCCAGTGTGCATTGGCTCAACAATTGGGTGAAGGCCTTTATATATAGAAGTGAAAGAACATTTACAGAAGGTTTGTGGTATAGCACCTCTAATCAGTAGAAATGAAATAAAATGCCACATATAATTTTGCTGAGAATTTATTTGCTTTAAAACGTCACTTTTCTAAATATAGGGTAACTGCACTGAAAATAGATTGGATTGATTGCACTTCTCTTTAGTAGGTAAATAGACAGCATTATGGTTAGAAAATCCTGCTGTGTTTTCTGCTCTATTGCTGATTGTGCCTAAAGCATATGTTCCTTTCTGTACACACACAGCAGCAAGGGAAAGCCCCTTTTCTATGGTGTGATCCCGTTCCTTAGAGGAACTATATGAATCACACTTGTGGGCTATTAATAAAATTGGTGATTCAATGTTGTGCTTCTATTTAGCACACCTTTTGAAAAGAGCATTGTGCTGTAAAATGATTTAAAATGATTTTAAACAAGTAAACATAGGGAAGTCAATAATACTATTTTTCTGTTGGTCATTGGGGTTCTATGTGGAAACTTTGGCCCAATTCTATCATTGGTGGGGTTCAGAATGCGCTTTGATTGTAGGTGAACTATAAATCCCAGCAACTACAACTCCCAAATGTTCAATGTCTATTTTCCCCACACTCCACCAGTGTTCACATTTGGGCATATTGAATATTTGTGCCAAGTTTGGTCCAGATCCATCATTGTTTGAGTTCACAGTGCTCTCTGGATGTAGGTGAACTACAACTCTAATGCCCACCAAACCCTTCTAGTATTTTCTGATGGCCACAGGAGTTCTGTGTGCCACATTTGTTTCAATTCCATCATTTGGACATATTGGGTATTTGTGCCAATTTTAGTCCAGTGAATGAAAATACATCTTGCATATTGGATATTTACACGATGATTCATAACAGTAGCAAAATTACAGTTATGAAGTAGCAATGAAAATAATGTTATGGTTGGAGGTCACCACAACACGAGTAACTATATTAAGGGGTCACGGCATTAGGAAAGTTGAGAACCACTGAACTACAGGGTCCATGGTAGTTTAAATGTCATGCAACTCTGATCATTCTTGTAATGAAGGATGTGGTGAGTGTGTGTGGAGGAAATCAAATTACCAGTACTCAAAAAGGCAAATTAAATTGAAAATTGTCTCTTGGATGAAGAGTGGATTGAATGTTGATCTGAATCCATTCTCCCAGGCATTTAATGCATTTTTCGTTCCACAATAAACATGGTAGGCAGCAGTACAACGTGAAAATTGGAACAGAAGGAAGCAGTTCATTCCTGCTGCTTCTACTTTCATGTGAATCATTTAACACCTTACTTGAACAGCAAAAGTCTGTTATGGATCAAAAGAATTGAAAGGCAAGGAAGAATCCTTTTTATACAACATGTACATATTGATAATCCACCGGTATTGACTACAATGGCAGCATTTTTGATGTAATTAAAGATATTCGATTCCATGGCCATGTAACTGTCAATGGTAAGTTGCAAAGGAGCTGTGTTTCAAGAGAGTTCACTGTAGATTTTGAGGGACTTTTCAAGATTAAAGGCTACAATAAAGCAATGTATTTTAAGAGAGCTTCTGCTTTTCACATTTCATAGTAATCAAAGAGATTAGAGAAAATCAAATGTGGTTTCAGGTTGTCCTTCTACCTTCCCCAGACAGCACCATCTTAAGAGAAAAATCTTTTATTTAATATTAAATGATTTTTCCTATTGTTCCATCTGATTGTTGAACTAGATTAAGGGACTGATCAAATATACAATTCTATAAATGTAACAGTTGGATGCTAAATGGTGTGATACTGCATCCATGAGAAAATATGAAAGTTTTGAACTGTTGGGGGCATGACAGGTTTTGCTGGTTCAGGTCAGTGTCCCCTTACAGGCATGGGAACTGCAATTCATTATTCAGCCCTGGATTAATTACACAGCAGGCTGAGTTTCCACTTGTTCAAATAATGTGGCAGCAAAGCCCAGTGCCCCTATTACAAGCCATCATTGTTGGGTGGCTTACATGGATGCACTGTGGGAGAATCCGATCCTTGCAGTTTTTTCGCTCGGTAGATGTTGAATGCTGAAAAAAAGAAAGGGGAGAGTTTGCTTTAGTGCCAGTGACAAAAGGCAGCCAGGCTGTTGCAGAGGCGGATTTCAGTGCCCAAACTCTGACGGAGGTGATTAGGTGGAGCTGGCCTTCCTGGAATTGTAGGGCAGATTTTCCTGTTGTGCTTCAGCATCAGCTGTCTCACAGTTACACATACATTCAACAGCACAGAGAGTCCAGGATTACTGCTGCTCAGGGAGGCAACTGTAGCCCTCTGTGGCTTTCCACTGTTTTCTGGGGAGAATCAGCTTGAACATTTGACAGCAATGTGTCGGCAAGTAAACTTAGACTCAAAAGCATCGGTGCGTATACAGTCTGGTGGATACTTCACAAAAGTTTGGGATTTTGTTTTAAAGCAAGTTTGAAATAACTCAGTGGGTTAGCAAATGGTTTCTTTGGCTTTGATCTTGTTGTTTGCATTAACTTTTGCTTTATAAAAAAACTTGAAGCTGGTTTAGGACATTTTTCAAAATCTTTATTACACTTTTGTTACAATGCAAAGGAAGTATTATGTTTTGACATCTGGCAATAAACCTTACGTGGCCAAAAAAGTATTCTGTTAATCATGTCTGTGGTCTTATGTCAGACATATCCAGTGTGGGACGAAGCTGATTTTTCCTGGTTTGTTGCTTGTTGTTCTTTGTTGTTTTAAACTTATAGTTACTTGCAAGCATCAAAAACATTTGCTGACTATCTGAAGGAGACTTTGTTTATTGGTGATGTACTGGCAAGCTTTGCAAATTTGTTCTAATGACTTTGTTATGACACAGAGAAATGTTTGATCATGTAACATGGCATTTTAGTTATAGTTTAATGTGGGACAATCCGCTGTCCTGCTTGCTGTAACCAATACAATATTTTATACTGAGTCATTTTGCTTTTTATTTGAGATATCCAATATCAAATGCTGTGTTTCTCAAGAACCAACGCTTATTTAGCTAGTTATTTACTTTCTTTCCTTTTTTAATGAATAGCAATGGGGAAATTGACTTGGGCCTCATACATAAGGGGGGTGGGTGCTGAAACGTTGGTTGCATCTCTGCTTCACTGTTTGAAATGGTGGAACACTTTTGTGCTGCTTGGTAAGAATGTAATTCCGGAAATAGATGAGATTTTAGTAGTTTAGTTATTTTCTATGCTACATTCACTTCAGTCATAAGATTTGGCCTTACTGACCCATTTGCCTTACAATTTTAAAGAGTTATTTTCCTCCTCCTTTACCTCATACCTCCAGGCAAACTGATAGCTAGGATTAAGAATGAAGACTCAAATGAACCATCAGTCTTCTATAATTGGCCAAGATGGCCAATGACTAATAACAGGCCAGCCAAAGCTATGGTTAACCCAAAGCTCTTGCATCCCAGGTGCTATTGAGCATTTTTTAGAAATGTATTTGCCCTAGCTTAAATTTGTAACAGTAATGGAAATGTGTTCCTATGTTAGAGGAGGTTTAGATCTACTATAAATCAGCTTTTCCTTTTCACTGCCCATTTGTTACTTCCCCCTCCCCATTTTAAGCAGTTTTGCTAGAAGATTGGCAGGTGTCTGGGGCTGTTTTTATGGTATGAAGCTCAGACCTGGTGAGCAAACTGTTATTAGTTTTCTCCACTTGCAGGGGAAGGGAAAATTATTTCTCCCATCCCTTATTATTAAAACATCTTTAAACACAAAAGTTATTTCAAGTACAATGTGTGTTTAGAAGTACCCTTCATGTGCTCACAGTAATTTACTCCATGGATGTGTACATAAGATTGATTGCAGTCAGCCATTATTATTCTTTAGAGAACTCAGTGACATTTGCTGTCTTCAAAGACCTTGATCATTTAGTGCATTTCTGATTGATAATGTTTGAGGAGTTTCAGCTATATATGTCTGTGCATACCCTCCTATTTCACAGATGAAAGCTGAGATACCTATTGGCAAGCCACATCAGAGTATGATGCTAGCATGGTTTTTGGAATGGGACAAAGGAACCAACCTTACACTGAAAGTCTATTGATTCATCTAGTTCATTATTGTCAGCCCTGACTGATGAACATGTATCTCCAGGGTTTCAGATAGGATTATTTCTAAGGGCTCATCCAGACAGTTCACAAAATGTGCAAGCTTCTGAGTTTTTACCTGGGTGTCCAAATGATACCTCAGGTAAAAGCAAATTAATTCGGTACAAAGCAGGAAAGTACTGCTTTGTGTCAAAGTAATTTGACAGCTGGAAATACCTGGGTCTTTCCAGCTGTAGGCACTGTGTGGGTTGGGCCCAGGCATTGCTTTGCGTGACTTCTGGTCCCAATCCACACTTCTGGAGCCCGAAAAACCCCATCCCTTCCCAAAACCCCTTTAAAAGCCTTAAAAAGAAAAAAAATACTTACCCCACTGGAATTTCCCTACTTCTGGTCATCTTCTGGCTCCCACCTCCTTCTCTTGGTACATCATTTCTACACACTATGAGAGGGCCGGCAGCAGGGAAATGTTGGCCAGGTAAGTAATTTTTTTTCTTTTAGAGGCTTTTCTGGGGGATTGTCTTTTGTGTCCAAGTGCCCTACTGGAAGGATTGGCAGGGCATCTGCTCCCCCCCCCCCCACCAGGACAGCAAGAGGGTTCTTTTGCTGGTGTGTGGTTTTTTATACCTGTGTTGGGCCAGACATTTCCCCTGTCTAGAACCACCCCTAGACTTACCTAGTGAATTCTGGAATTGTCTGGTGGTCTCCCATCTGGGTACGAACCAGGACGAAATCCCTCCAGCTTCTGAAATCAAATGAGATTGGGTGTGTTTTGGGAGGTAACATGATTTATTTGGAGCAGATCTGAAGAAGAGATATAGCAAATATGGAACGAATAAGTGCTTTGTCCCACTACTTCTACTAATTGCTGATTATTTGCCATTTCTTTTAATGTTTAGAAACAGGTTATCCAAAAGCACTTCAACCATATCTAAGAAACATCAATAGTGTTTCTTAAATATGGTTATCATAGATTTCTGTGCGCAAGCAGATGGCAACTCATAGATAACGTAAGTTCTGTATTTCAAGAATTAGAGTGAATAGTGGAAAACTGGTGCCATTTTTGGAATCAGGAGGTCAAATATACACAGAAATAGGTCAAACATTTGAGGCACCAAAATGTGTTCTGGACTGCGTTATAAGAAGCCCATTAGCAATAGTACATTAAAGTGTTTAACCAAATAGTGATATTTAAAATCAAGACATATGCCTGAAATATATGTAAGATGTTATTAGAAATCAGAATGGTTCCTTCTATTTGAATCCAGCTTTTTACGCATATTTCTATATAAATGACAGGTGGAAAACATTCACATACAGAAATCTCTAACATTTTCAAAAACTTAATGTATAATTTATATGGCATCTATAACTATATGGTCTTCTTCTAGTGCATATATCATATTAAATGGCATGAACTGATTTTCCCAGCTACCATTTTCAGCATTTATATTGAAAAATTGCTGATTTTTATCACATAGGAATTGTATATCAGTTTTCTTTCTCTCCATGCCTGCATCTGTTAAGTTTTTTTTAAAAAAAATGGAGAAAACACCTCAGTGTAAATTGGCCAGAACAGATATGCACATACATCTAATGCTATCTTGTCAAGGTCAGGATTTACACAAGGATGACTAACTGACTGAAGCATGATGAAGTGACTGGCACTGCACATCAGAAAATACCATTGTAATTCTTATATTACCTCACAGCAAGACAAGTTCACAAGTTCAGCCATATATCAGTAAGATAGACATCACATTACAGTCAGTATACTACATAGATACTGTGTTTTAAGTAGTGTTCATCTACGTTTGATGGGATTGTGTTGTATCTGAGACTTATAGTCTGAGTGTTCCTTGAGCTTGGATGCACAAATCTCTCCTGTGGTTTGAGGTGGCTTTTACCAGGTAAGGCTCATTTGCCAACATCATCATCCCCTGATCAGAAAGATCCCTGAAGAACCATATTTGGGCAATCATCAAGGCAGACAATTGTGGAATATTCTATATAAAGAATTTCTGAATAGCATGTTAACTAGCCCACATAGTAAGAACATATTATGTCAGTCTAACTGCACTAATTCTTGTTTCAAAAGGCTGGTAATGATCATGAAAACACTTCATGGTTTCAGTCTGGAGAACCTGTAGGGTTTCATTCTCCTCTGGTTATATCTGAGATTCAGGTGACTGCCAGACATAATGTAAGTGACACCAGCTTTTTAAAAATAGAATTCAGAGCAGCTTGTACAGATAAAATACTACATCAATATAATTATACATCAATACATAAACATGAGAGAGTTAAAATAACAACCAGTTAGAAGCCTGACCATATTAAAAATTATTGTGGTTAAATTTGTTCTTGATGGTGTTTAGATTGGAAGTTGCTTTTGCTTTCCATGGATATGGTGGTCATATTAAGCTGGCTTTATAGCACAAATTCAAATGGATTCTTGAATGCTCTAGGGGAATTTCAACTTGACATAGTTGGTGCTCATATGAAAGTCCAGGGGGCCATTAACACTAAAGAATTATAGCACTATTATTTCACTTTAGCCATTATTGTTCCATTTTATGGAATCCTAATGTTTGTAATATGGTGTGGCAATAGAAGAGCCCCAGGAGGCCATGATGGCATTTAAAGTGGAATAATAGTGCTGTAATTCTGTAGTGTGAATGGTCTCCTGGTGCCACTATCTAGAATGTTAAGGAAGTTAAGGTGGAAAATACTATTGACAGGATCACTCTCCCATCTGTATTGTAGAGTATAACCATCCAATTTATTTGATATTTGAAACTCAGAAATGTGCTGTGATACGGTCTCTAAACTTTCCTCTGTTCTTCATCCTTGTTAAAAAAAATAGATACCCAGGGCTCATTGGAACCCACCCGCTATCCGTAGGATCTGCTCCCAAATTGGGCTGACATCACTACACCGCAGTCCACTTCCATAGTCTTTTTCTTAGTACGTAGATCAAATAAATAGAGGGACAATCTAGACAATGTGCTAAATTTTCCTACACCACACTAGTTTCTCTAACACAGTTTGATCCCCTGCCCTTATTTCAGGTAGTGGATGTAACTGCTTGGATCATATTGAAAGTAAGAATTATTATCTTCTGTCTTTGAAGAGGTAGCTTTTATAAGAAGAAAAAGATGTTTACTATTCCAAATAGACACTTTTTTAAAAGCATAATTTCTTATGCAAACTCATAATGATTTGGAATAACTTTTTAATAATTCCTTTTTCAAACACTGTCATTCCAAACACTACAAACTTGATTTCCGTTTCTGACTAACCAACCTTATACAAGGGGATCTATAATAACTTGGCTAAAGATTCTAAGGTAAAGGTTTTCCCCTGACATTAAGTCCAGTCGTGCTCGACTCTAGGGGTTAGTGCTCATCTCTATTTCTAAGCCGAAGAGCCAGCATTGTCCGTAGACACCTCCAAGGTCATGTGGCTGGCATGACTGCATGGAGTGCCATTACCTTCTCGTTGGAGTGGTACCTATTGATCTACTCACACTTGCATGTTTTCGAACTGCTGGGTTGGCAGAAGCTGGGGCTAACAGCGGAAGTTTACGCCGCTCCCCAGATTCAAACCTGCAACCTTTCAGTCAACAAGCTCAGCAGCTCAGTTTTTTAACCCACTGCACAACCAGGGGCTTTTCCATCTAGCAAACATAGAAGATAAAGAATGACAGACAGTGTTGGTCTTCCCATGCTTTCTTTACTTGCAGGGTCATCAATAGCAATGTGAAAGCAATGATTTGTAATAGCTGGTTTAGAGTCCCATGCAGCAGTTATCATCTGGCAAAGTAAAGATCATAGCAGCCACAGTAATCTATAGTTGCTGCTGAAAAAATAAGCAAACCATATTGGTTTGGTGTATTTTAAAGCCGCCCAGATATTTGACATCTAAGCGTGAAACCAAATGGCATATTGTTCTAGTCTCTGCGAGACAAACACTTTCCTGCCCTTACCACAAAGCAAGTATGAATAAGCATTAGAGAGTGACTTGAACTTTGCCTCCATTGTTGAACTTTTCTATGCTATTATGGTTTGGACCGAGGTTATACACAGTGTTCCTGTCACTGTAACTGCAATTCTCTTCATTTAATTGTGGGGATATGCAGTAGGTTCAAAGAGATCTGGTTCCCAAGCTTGCTAATGAGCATAAGGCTCCCTTCACCCTTAATGAACCAAGATTTCTGTGTGAATTTTAGGGGAGAGGGGAGGAGAAAGTGGGGGCCCAAAGAGTTTACACAATGGGACAACGACTTTACAGTGTAAAGACCATGCAGCTGGGCCATCTGAAGCAGTCCTCAGTTATGAGCAACAAAGCTTAAATAGATTGTACTGTGAAGAGGTACATTTTTGTGAGTTGGAAGCATAGTTTTTGCTTCTGCTTCACTGACCTGTCTGCTTCTAACACTGATAGGGCCTTGACAAGAGCTTAGGGAAGGAGCACCACGTAGAGCGACTCTTTCAAAATCATTTCATGCAACATGATTAGTGAAAGAAGAAACAAAATGAAGTTTCAGTCATTTTTAGGGCTGATGTCTTTAGGGGGGAAGTGGAATTAACTGCTTCAGTTTCTTGAATTGCGTGCTGAGAAAAGTCATTGTTGAGCTGTGCAGTCTGTTAAAGTGAATATTTGCACAGTAGAACAGCCTTTGACCTTCTTGGCAGAAAACAACAGAGGTTCTTGGCACATTCACAACTGTATTAAAACAAAAGTGGGGGGGGGGGGGAGGAAGCCAAAGTATTTTCATTGAGTCTATTCTCAATTCGCCAAATACCATGTTTGTCTCAACAACTTTTGACATGAATGTTGAAATGCTACTTCCTCTTTTAAATATTTTCTTCTTTCTTTTGGATCTGACTGAACACGCTTATGAATATATCTTTGTAAATGCATATATCTACTGTCACTTTGTTTCACATTGTATTTGTTCTTATAACTTGTATATTTTTTCTGTATATATTGTTGTTCATTTAAACCCTTATAATTATGAATATAATTCAGTAAATACACTTATACACATGTTTTGAATCTCCAAGTAACCTACTGCATACCTGAAGTCACCCAAATGTCACATAATTATGTTGAGAAATAAGAAGTTACTTTGAGTTTGTTTTATTTTAAATTAGATGATTCCTGATTGCTACTTCTGCTTTTAAACATTAAAATCATTCAGACAGATGTCTGTATAGTTTACAGCAGATTCCATACTTTAAGGGAAAAAGCTTTTGAAGCAGAAAAATAGTACCTTTTATATTGTGTTTCATTTTTATGTTTGTTTTTAGGCACTTTGTGCCATCTGTAAGCCGTCTGAGTCCCTTAGAGAAGATGGTGGTGGGATATAAGAATAAAGTTATTATTATTATTCCTTCTGATATATGTGTAAATGTGCACTTGCTCATTTTAAAGCTATAACATCATCCCTGAACAATGCACAAACATTTCAAACATTGGCTCTTATTCTTGGTCTTTTACAACTTTTGCTAAAACAGGGAGAGGGGTGGGGAAGAGAGGTAAAAAGAAAGAGACTTGTCATAAAAATGTGATTAGATTAGAGAAACATAAAAGTGAAATAGAGTTTTAAATACCTTGATTACTGATGCATAGTCAGGTCCCAAATTTTGTGTAGCCTTCCAGTCTGAGGTGCCTGGATGATAGCAAGGAGAGTGGTGAAAGTTGACAACCCCCTGTGGTTGACCCCTCTGTTCTGCTTTGCCTAATCGAATCTTATGTTGTGCTTTTCAGATAGCTGATCAGCTTCCCTGGATTTTGCTGATGACACAGGAAAGCTTTGCCTGAAGATGGAAACACTGGAGTCGGAACTGACCTGCCCTATCTGTCTGGAGCTGTTTGAGGATCCGCTGCTGCTGCCTTGTGCTCACAGTCTCTGTTTCAACTGTGCGCATCGTATCTTGGTCTCCCACTGTGCTACCAACGAATCAGTGGAATCTATCACCGCCTTCCAGTGCCCTACTTGTCGTTATGTCATCACCCTCAGTCAAAGGGGTCTAGACGGACTCAAGCGCAACGTCACGCTGCAGAATATTATCGACAGGTTTCAGAAAGCTTCAGTGAGCGGGCCCAATTCTCCCAGTGAAACTCGCCGAGAGCGAGCTTTCGATAGCAACAGCATGTCCACCAGTGAAAAAGTTCTCTGCCAGTTCTGTGACCAGGATCCTGCTCAGGAAGCAGTGAAGACCTGTGTAACATGTGAGGTCTCCTACTGTGAGGAGTGCTTAAAAGCGACTCACCCAAACAAGAAGCCATTTACTGGCCACCGTTTGATTGAGCCTATTCCTGATTCTCACATCAGAGGATTAATGTGTCTGGAGCATGAGGATGAGAAAGTTAACATGTATTGTGTGACTGATGACCAATTAATCTGTGCCTTGTGTAAACTGGTTGGGAGGCATCGCGATCACCAGGTGGCAGCTTTAAGCGAACGCTATGACAAGTTAAAGGTTAGTGTTATTTTAATACTTGATTTCTTCACGAGTGTGGCATCAAGACATGTCATATCTTAAGCTCATCTGTAATGTGGCTGACATATGCAAATGTGTGATATTTGCAGTTTTTGTAGGTATACTCACACCTGATACAAGTCATTATATAAATTTCCAGTTTTAATTAGAATTAAATTTCTCAGTGTCAAACTCTGCCGGTATTTCTAATAAGGAGCTGATACGAATATGATGCAAAATACATTCATGTGTATATGTCAACATCTTTTAATTGCAGTTTTTCAAATGTGACAATTTACTGTGAATATCCTTGGAGATGTAAAAGCATATTGTCATACATGCTGGACTTGCCTTCTATGTGTTACATATGTATGGGGCTCCATTTGCTGTTTGGGAAAGCATTGGTGCTTTGTAAAACACTATAGGCAGTTTAAACCTATTGGATAGCAGTCATAGATAGAAATAACCTAGGCCACCTGACAGACCATTAATAGTGCAATCTGCTGTGTTTACTCTGAAGTAAGTCCCATCTAATTCAGTGTATTTTACTTGTAGGAAGCATATTCAGGATTGGAGTTCTAATTAAAGTGTGTTTAATGCCATTGTTGTCTTTCCAGTACATTTTGTATTTGTTCCACGTATTATTTTTTATGTGCACTGTCTTTTAGGAATGTGCCTTCTTGTCAAATGAGACAGTTGGATTGTAAGTGAGTGTTATTGTCTTTCACATGTGTGTGTATAATACATGAGAAGCATAAGGGGAAAACTAATTCCCGAAACATTCTATGTTCTTAAGAATCTACATCCATAGTGAAAATCATTTCTTATGCTGAGTGATCCAGCAGTTCAGTTCCATTTCCAAAGTTCCATTGCCAAAGAGCATGTTAGTTCATCAGTTTTACAAAGAACAAGTTTAAGGAGCTTCATGTAGGAGGCACATTTACACTTGTGTGAGTCCATGTCTTTTTAAGCTGCCACATTGATTGCTGAACAGCAGACTAGGGAAGGAAATGGGAAAACCAGAAGCCCCCTCCTCTAATTCCTTTAGGGAAATGCTGCAGTGATTGTTTGTAGTAGACAGACCATGAGATGAAAGAAAAAGCAAAATGGTAAGACTACTATCTTTTGGGCACTGTGTTTTTATCTGACAGATGTTCTATTGTTTCCCAGAAAGCAATTCTGGCTTACTTAAACAGAGTACTTCAGCAGATAATTTTATTTTTTGTTTACATAAGAATATTATTAAGAATTGGGCAATGGGAAGAAAGAAATTTACAGTAGTGTGTCATGCAATGTTAGAACAAGGAAGTCCTAGAATTATAGAGTAGAAGTATTTTACATTATCGACCATGACATGTACATGTGATTTTCTGAAAGCTTGATTGATGGTTGGGCAGCACTCTTTAAATATATATATTTGAAACATCTCCACTGAAGTCTTAGCTATAAAGTTATTACCATGATACATTTTAAAAGTTTTCCATAATTAGGTGTAGAATGTAGTGATAGAATGTAGTCTGGTTGTAGTCCTGTGGTTCTATGCACTTAGCACACCAACATTGCTGTTTTGGAAATATTGGACTGAATGGTAATTGCAATTTCTTTTCTCTATTGCTTTGATCTGTTATTATTGCTCATGTTGTATTTGGCTTTTGTGAGGCTGCTTAATTTTTAAGTTGTTTTTATAGCTTGAGTTTTTGAGACTTAAAAAATGATGCATTATTGCTAGATGCCCTGAATATTTTCTGATGGCCGCAGAAGCAGACAATATGAATTTAGATACATAAATGGACAGTTAAGGGTCTATAACTGGAGTGGGGTTGAAAGTCTGCTTCCCAGTTCATAGTTAAATAGTTTTGGAAATCCCTTAAATCTCATTGATTGAGATGGGTCTCTGTTGACTCATAGACTTTTTGTGCATTCTTTCATTCTGATGTTCACTCTAGATCTTTTGGTTTCAGGCTATTAGACACACCATCAGGTGTTTCTATGTAGATTTTGCTCTCAAAACAGGAGTAACTTTTTTAGCATAACATCTTCAAAATATTCTAGCACACTTCACAGGATTATTGTGAAAGTATCATACAGTAGTTGGCAGGGAGTACATTTAACCAATGCTTTGTGACCCATGGAGTTTAAATTTGAATTTCAAGTTCAAATTTGGTTTGAAAATATATAACGATGGTGTCTAATTTGAAAATATATTATGTAGAGTGAAGTGGATAATAAGTACATGCAAGTGTCAAGGCATACTTTAGATACTTCTTTAGCACCAGATGCAGTGTTGGTAACACAATGCCCAATTGCTCTCATTGCAAGTGGGGGGGGGGGGCTGTAAAAACTTTGTACCTGTGGTCTGTGGATGATGATGTCCAAATCCAGCTATTTTGCTTACCACTCTCCTAATATGTGAGAGATTTAATGAATCATTGAGTTCAGAGAAAGCGAAGGGCGGGTAAAGAGGTTTGCTTAACTAGTTCAACTTAAGACAGAAACAATTAGGCGGAATATATCAGAACACTTTCCTCCTCTAGAAACCAGAATTCTGAAGAATTTTGATATATTCGAATGTTTGAATGCATTCTCAATTTTATAGCCAATCCACACTTTACTTTCTGAAACTAAATCTGGTGCAAATATTGGTTGAGAATTAATTATATGCAGTTCTATGCCTTTAAAGGAAAAAGAGTTCCTGAACTCAACGAACCGTTTTCCCTTTACAACTGCTAATTTATTTTAGGAAATTCTGGCCTTTTGAACCACTCACAATTGGGAAGATCATGCGTTTTCTCACTTAAAAGGTATCTTGTATACTTAAGTTTTTCAGCCAACCAATTTATTTATTTGTTTATTTACCATATTTCTATCCTGCCCTTCTCACCCTAAGTGGGACTCAGAGCAGCTTACATCAGGCAAGCTTTTGAAGCTTCATCAATGTTTTCATTAGGCAAAGTGTTAAAAATAATACACGAGAAAACAAAACAATAGCAGTATTGGAGCCACAGCACTATATTTGGTCAATATTTTGTCAAGATGTTTTTGTTGTTGTCTGTTAGTATGATGTGGAGAGTGATCAATTCAAACTGAGGCTGCGCCTCACTTTGGCCACGTGGCAATGGGATGACAAAAAGTCTTAAAATCCATGCAATGAAAATGTGAAGCCTTTAGCAACAGAAAAAGAAACTTCCCTTGAGATCTAAGCTGTTTCTGTCCTGGGTGCTGCTTTCATAGGAAGAGAACATTGAATTTCTCAAGAAGACTGTGTTGCTGCATCTAGAAAAGTCTTTAAGTGATAGATAGATAAAACCACCAAATGCATGGTTGATATAAAGTTATGATTATAAATAACTATGGAGATCTTGTTAATAACTATGGAGATAGGAGGATGCTTGCATCTATGGCAAGCATCCTCAGAGGTAGTGAGGTCACTACCTCTGAGGATGCTTGCCATAGATGCAGGCAAAACGTCAGGAGAAAATGCCTCTGGAACATGGCCATATAGCCCAAAAAAACCTACAACAAACTGAAAGTGGTTCCCAACATAATCAATGGCAAAATTAATGAAATGAGCATTTTTATCTTGTTTTCTATTTTAACTACAGTACCATTTGATGCTATAAAAATTACTTTGTAAGTCCAAAAGTTTCACAATATTTTATGTGAACATGGGGGTGCTTAGGAATCATAGAAACATAGAATCACAGAGTTGGAAGAGACCTTGTGGGCCATCCAGTCCTATCCCCTGCCAAGAAGCAGGAAAATTGCATTGAAAGCACCCCTGAGAGATAGCCATACAACCTTTGTCGCTTCCACCACACTCTGAGGCAAAGAATTCCACTGCTGAACAGTTAGGAAGTTCTTCTTAATGATCAAATGGAATCTCCTTTCCTGTAATTTGAAGCCATTGTTCCATGTCCTAGTCTCCAGGGCAAGATTTTCTATTTTCTATGTGAAAATCAGTCAAGATTTTTAATGATCTTTCACATGCTCCAAGTTCAGACTTGAAGGTGCTCCTTTATACATACTCTTTATTGTTAATTACTGTACTTTCTCTTGTTCAAAACTGAAGCTCTTCTGTAAGAAGAAAAGATCTAAATTGGCAAGATAATATTCTGTTTCTTTTGATTGTAAGTGTCCAGGAAAGAAATTCCTTCCTCAGCTTGGATTGCTTTTATATTACAAGTTTCCTCACA